CCCCTAATAAGTATGGATTAATTAATGTTAATATAATTAATAAATAAATTAAAATAATAAATCCAATTAAATCTTTAAATGTAAAAAAAGGATGAAAGGGGATTTTATCAAAGTTTATTAATCCCTAAAGGATTGTTAGATCCTGTTTGATGAAGAAATAGTAAATGAATTATAGTTAATATTATAAGTAATAATAAATGGAAATAAGAAATGAAAAGTATAAAATCGGGTTAATGTGGCATTATCTACTGCGAATCCCCCTCAAATTCAATTTAGTAGATCAGTTCCTAAATAAGGAATTGCTGATAATAAATTAGTAATTACTGTAGCTCCTCAAAATGATATTTGTCCCCAAGGTAAAACATATCCTATAAAAGTTGTTGCTATTAAAATAAATAAAATAATTACACCTACAATTCAAGTGTAAAAAAATTATAAGAGTTATAATAAATTCCTCGGCCAATATGAATGTAAATACAAATAAAAAAAATGATGCTCCATTTGTATGAAGGGTACGAATTAATCAACCATAATTAACATTTCGGCAAATATAATTAACTCTATTAAAAGCTATTTCAATATTTGCTGTATAATATATAGTTAAAAAAAGACCTGTAATAATTTGAATTCCTAAACATAAAGCTAATAAAGATCCAAAATTTCATATTGAAGAAATATTAGAAGGTGAAGGTAAATTGATTAAAGAATTATAAATAATGTTATAAATTGGATGTATTTTTCGTATTGGTTTAAAATTTATCACTAGGGGGCTGTCCATTAGTCACGTGAGGCTTGAAAGGGGGGGGGGGAGGGGTTTGATAAAAATCACGAAAATAACACAAGGGGGAGGGGGGGTGTAGTAAGATATCTCGTGTATTTATTTTTTCGTCTAACGCGCGATTTTTAAACAAATATTAAGCGGCACGGCGCGGCGTGTAGTGACCTCGACTCTTCGTCCAGGCAACGGATGATATTCCTATTTCCTATGATTACACTCTTCGTTTATTATTAGAGGCTGTCCATTAATCACGTGAGGCTTGAAAGGGGGGGGAGGGGTTTGATAAAAATCACGAAAACAACACAAGGGGGAGGGGGGGTGTAGTAAGATATCTCGTGTATTTATTTTTACGTCTAACGCGCGATTTTTAAACAAATATTAATTTATTATGGTCCTTAATTTCAGAATAAAATAAGAAATTCAGAAAATTTTAAGATTCGTTGTAGGTACTAAAAATACACGTGATGTTGAGAAGGGGGAGGGGGGGTGGTCTTAAACCTCACTACGTATCAACAATGGGGGCGGGGGGGTTAAAAAGTGCTAAAAAAAGATCACGTGATTAATGGACAACCCCTAGTTAAAAATTTGATCGCAAGGGTCCAAAAAAAATATTAGTAATTTTTACTACAGCAATAAGAGTAATAAATAAGTAAATAATTAATAATAATATTAAATAATAAGTATTATTATTATATAATTTAGTTAAGTTAATTTTATTTTCAAAATTAAAAAAAATATAATTAAAAAAATATATTTATTTCATCATTAAAATTAAAATTTAATCAAATTAAATTTTTATAAAATATTAATCTTAATAAAATTAAAAAAAATAATAATATAAAAGTTATTATATAATTAAAATATTTCATTTGAGGCGATTCTAGCTACATAAATAAATAAGACTAAAAGACCCCCTATAAAAATTAAGAATAAAATACTTATATGAAAATCAATAAGTATTAATAATTATTTCTGAAAGTAAACATAAAAAAGAGTGTTTCATAAAATTATTAATCCTATTGATAAAGGATGTTGAATAAATAATATAATAATAGAAAAACTTAATATTAATAATGAAATAAATATTTTAATTTCAAAGAATAGTTTATAAAAATAATAATTTTGGAGATTATAGATAAAGAAATTCTTTTTCTTTGAAGTTTTTAAAGAGATTTCTTATTTTTGATTTACAAGACCAATGTTTTAATTAAACTATAAAAACTAATGGTAAATATATATATAGTAAGATTAGTTATATTTATGGTGGGTAATATAATTTTTGTTTCACAACATAAACGTTTATGAGTAGTTTTATTAAGATTAGAATTTATTGTTTTAAGACTTTTTTTATTGATAATAATATATTTAATAATAATTAATTATAATTTATATATATTAATAATTTTTTTAGTTTTTTCAGTTTGTGAGGGAGCTTTAGGATTATCAATTTTAGTAACTATAATTCGGACACACGGAAATGATTATTTTCAAAGATTTCATTTAATTTAATGATAAAATTTATATTTATGTTATTATTTATTATCCCATTATGTTTTTTACGAAATATATTTTGATTGGTGTATTTATTTTTAATACCAATAATATTTATATTTATAAATTTAAGAATTAATATTATAAATTTTCGTAATTTAAGATATATATTAGGTTGTGATATAATTTCTTATGGTTTAATTATTTTAAGAATTTGAATTAGAGCTTTAATAATTATATCAAGACAAAGATTATTAAAAATAAAATTTTATTTAATTTTTTTTATTTAATATTATTATATTAATATTAATATTATTTTTAACTTTTAGAGTGATAAATATATTTATATTTTATTTATTTTTTGAGGGAAGATTAATTCCTACTTTATTACTTATTATGGGGTGGGGCTATCAGCCTGAGCGAATTCAAGCAGGTATATATTTATTATTTTATACATTATTTGCTTCTTTGCCTTTATTATTAGGGATTTTTTTATATTTATATTAATAATTATAGAATAATAATATATTTTTTTAAGTTTAATAGTTATGAGTACATTTATTTATATATTGCAATAATTTTAGCTTTTTTAGTTAAACTACCAATATATTTTCTTCACTTATGGTTACTTAAGGCTCATGTAGAGGCTCCTATTTCTCGTTCAATAATTTTAGCTGCTGTGATACTAAAATTAGGGGGTTATGGTTTATTACGAGTTATAATAATTTTACAAAAAATTGGTTTAAAAATAAATTATATTATAGTTGTAATTAGATTAATTGGGGGATTAAATATTACATTAAAATGTTTTTGTCAAATTGATATAAAATCTTTAATTGCTTATTCATCAGTTGCTCATATAGGAATAGTAGTTGGCGGAATTATAACAATAATTATTGGGGTTATTTAGGCTCATACATTATAATAATTGGTCATGGGTTATGTTCATCAGGTATATTTTGTTTATCTAATATTAATTATGAACGATTAGGTAGACGAAGTTTATTTATTAATAAGGGACTAATAAATTTTATACCTTCAATAAGAATATGATGATTTTTATTACTTTCTTCAAATATAGCTGCTCCTCTATCATTAAATTTAATAGGGGAAATTAGATTAATTAATAGAATAATAAGATGATCTTTATTATTATTATTTCTTTTATAATATGGCCTTCATCCGTGCAGAAAAGTGCACAGTATATTCTGCCAATGTCGAGTAGATTGGAAGAGACACGATCCGGGATTTACTTTAAAATGAAATAAACTTTAACAGTCCCAGCCAAAGTCACAATAGGGTACTTTGTTAGTAGATCTAAAACAACACAAATATAATTGGATGAAAACTTAGGAGCTATATATATAACACATAAACTGTATAAAAAATGTTAAACTAAGACTAATATTCAATAGAAATAAGACAGATTGTTACAACTTAATTCTATTAATTTTAATATATTTACATATAAATTTACTAAAGAAACCAAACACCAATGACAACAGAAATTCGGTATTTATAGGACGGGGAATGTTGACAGGAAGAATATCATACAGGGGATGAAGGAGTTTAGGGCAGCTGAAGAGGAAATGTCTAGAGCTCTTACAGCTACAACATTAAACTCAGGACTATGTGGAGAAAGGGCTATAGGAAGATAAGGTAGCGAGTGACGAATAAGAATGGCACAGCCAGCATACCCATCTATTCTGTCATCCCGTAAACAGGAATATCCAGCGACTCGGAACCGAGAACCAGGACGTAACCATGTTTCCGAGATGGCAGCAATGACAGGTTTGTGAGAAGAGAAAAGGGAGAGCAGATCGGCTTTCTTGTGATGAATGCTTTTACAGTTCCATTGTAGGAGTTGAGTTAACATTGTTAATGAAATTGAATAAGGTGGTGAGGTTGTGTGCAACGTTGGGCGGTAAAGGGGAATTACTAGATGTAATCAGAGACAGGATAACAGATGATAGTTGGAGTAGTAGAGATTCAAATGGAGACAAATTTTTTTCCTCTCCATTATTAAGAGCAACACCATTTCCAGAAGAAGTAGGAATGTTACCAATAACAGCCTGGTGAGCCAGTTTGTCATAACCTATTGGGGATGGAGCATGAGGACGAGGAGCTGAGAAAGTGGTTTTACGATATGATTTGGATGGGGAAGGCGAAATAGGAGAAGTTGGGGAAATGGTATTTTGAGAGGAAGACAAAAGAAGAGGAGAAGACAACGTCCTTACTGAGTCATCATAGGATTTGCGGGAGGGGGCAAAGCGGGATGAGGCCTCATTATACGAAATATTTTCCTGAGACATAACCATCTTAATGGACTGTTGCCGAGTATACTCAGGGCATGCTTTCTCGTTAGCAAAATGCATACCACTGCAATTTATACATTTTGAATTTTCCATGGTAACCCTGCAGGTTTCACCTGGGTGGTCACATGAGCATTTATAGCATCTAGGCTTTGACCTACACTGAGTTTTAACATGGCCAAATCTACAACAATTAAGACACTGAATAGTAGGAAATCTATAATTATCAACTTGAAGTGCTACTGAGAATGCATAAATCTTGGAAGGGAGCATCTGCCCTCTAAATGTTAGTACCACTGACTGAGTGGGTACCCAAGTGGAAACACCCTCCAAAGATACCTGTTTTCTATTTAATCTTCTAGCTTTTAAAACTATACCACAACCCTCTGGCAGAGGATTCAGTGCTTCAATGAATTCATTCATTGACCAAAAATAATTGGCTTGATAGATATAGGGGAAGCAGGGTCTTGAGTATTCCGTGAGACATGAACAATATAAGGGCCCTTATCAATGTCTGTATAAGAAGGAGAACCATTTAGAAGAGAAGGATGGGTATATAATGTCTGAATTGATGGAGAGGAGAGAGAAGGATTGGTGATCGTTTTCTTAGGACCAGCTGAAGGAGTTAAAGAATCATCATCACCATGACGCTTACGCGATACGTTTTGAGCTTCCAGGTTGGCAGACGAGGATAATTGTATATCAGTATTCATAGGATCACCGGGATCCGGGGGGAACGGGGGAGGATCACCATCCATTTTATACAATTGTATATATATGTAAAAGTGTACTAATACAAAACAAATAAGTACTTACACGAATACAATATAGGTTAGTAAAACACCCAAAAACTATAACTACGTGATAATAATACACAAAAACTAGAACTAAGCACTGTTCTGACTTAAGGCAACACGAAAAAATATAGAAAAATGATGAATTAGCGACACCAGAGTTTCCCTCGCACGTGTGTCAACCAGATCCCCTAAGGTAATCCATACCAACACACACTAAAATGAAGATGATCTTGAATTACAATATTTATATTAATAAATTTATTTATAATAATTTATTTAATTGATATAAATTTAACAATTATAATAGAATGGGAAATTATTTATTTTAATTCTATTAATATTGTTATATCTATTTTATTGGATTGAATATCTTTATTATTTATAATATTTGTTTTATTAATTTCATCATCAGTAATTTATTATAGAAAAAGTTATATAAGATCTGAAATTAATTTGAATCGGTTTATTATTTTAGTAATTATATTTGTTTTTTCAATAATTTTATTAATTATTTATTAGTCCTAATATTGTGAGAATTTTATTAGGGTGAGATGGGTTAGGTTTAATTTCATATTGTGTAGTAATTTATTATCAAAATGTAAAGTCTTATAATGCCGGGATATTAACTGCCTTATCAAATCGTATTGGGGATGTTATGATTTTAATAATTATTGCTTGGATATTAAATTATGGGAGATGAAATTATATTTATTATTTAACATTCATAAAAAATGATTTTTTTATAAATGTTATTTCTATTATAATTATTTTGGCTGCTATAACTAAAAGAGCTCAAATTCCTTTTAGATCTTGGTTACCGGCTGCTATAGCTGCTCCTACTCCAGTTTCAGCTTTAGTTCATTCATCAACTTTAGTGACTGCTGGGGTTTATTTATTAATTCGTTTTAATTTGTTATTAGAAGGTATATTTATATTAAAAAAAATATTATTATTTTCAGGGTTAACTATAATAATAGCTGGGATTAGAGCTAATTATGAATATGATTTAAAAAAAATATTGCTTTATCTACTTTAAGACAATTAGGGTTAATAATAAGAATTTTAAGAATGGGGTATAGAGATTTAGCTTTTTTTCATCTTTTAACTCATGCTATATTTAAGGCTTTATTATTTATATGTGCGGGGGTATTAATTCATATAATAAATGATAATCAGGATATTCGAATAATGGGGGGGTTAAGAAGTTTCATTCCTATAACTTCTTTATGTTTTAATATTTCAAATATAGCATTATGTGGAATTCCTTTTTTAGCTGGGTTTTATTCAAGGGATTTAATTTTAGAGATAACAATAATAAGAAATTTAAATATAATAATTTTATATTTATATTATTTTTCTACAGGTTTAACAATATTTTATACAATTCGTTTAATAGTATATTTAATAATTAATGATTTTAATTTAATAAGAGTATACCGGGTGACTGGTGAATTACTATCGATACTAGAGGACGTGATATTTGACGATCATATATAACAAAATAAAAATTAATATAACATAAATATTAATAAACTTCTGAGTAAAGTTAACCAAAAGTTATGTAAATAATTACGCATCGTGTGAACACCCTACAGATTAGGTATACACACACACACATAGGCGTGCGGCGGCGCGGTGTTGTATCAGCACGCCGCCGCATGCGTCCACACTTGGAACACTTGGAACGTGTCCACGCTTTATTTATTTATACGGAAATTTGGTCAAAAATTAAGTACCTATTTTTTCACATAATTCGAATGAGAATCATGTACTGAGTATTCTCATTAAATATTGATAGTAATTCACCAGTCACCCTGTATATTTTATATGATGAGGATTATATTATATTAAAAAGTATAATGATTTTATTATTTATAAGATTAATTTCTGGGAGAATATTAAGTTGAATAATTTTTTGTTACCCTTATATAATTTTTATATCTTTAAATATAAAATTAATAGTAATAAATTAATTAAATATTAAATTAATTAATTTATGTAAGATTGATGGGGGGAATAATAGGTTGATTAGTCAGAAAAATAAATATTTATTCTGTTAATAAATTTTTAATGATATATAATTTAAATATATTTTTTACTTTAATATGATTTATACTTTCTTATCATTAATAATACTATAACTCTTAGAATTCATTTTTGACTGATTGTTATCAATTAATTATAATACTGCTCCATTAAAATTATCTACTTGTATTTGAAAATTATAAATACTAGCATCAGCCATTTTGTAGGACTTTACTGGAAATAAAGACGAAGCGTCATAAACAATATATGAGCATTAGATTGGTGTAATACATACAATTGCAACAATAATGTATTATCTTTTGATTCCTGGACAAGGATCCATCAAAGTCACATCACATAAAAAAATCAAAACCCTTTAGATTTATCATAAGTTTAGTCAGTTTAATGTGGTTACCGCTTTTAACGTACCACCACCCTAGTATATTTTTCTATGAAGGCTTTCAATATATTCGTAAGAGATCTCGTGTTATCAAAATAAAGGTTTGAAATATGTACTTACATGTGTGTAGTCTCAAGGAAGAAAATCTTTCATCACAAGAATTTTTTTATCTAAAAAAATTTCGCCCGTGTTTAAGTATGACGATTTGAGGATTTTGTAATGACATTGATGTCCTCTTAACGAAGATGGGATTTTGTACCTACAAAAATGGCGAGCCGAAACTGTTCATAAACAGCTTAAGAAGAAATTTAAAATGAATTTTCCTTTTTGTTGGTAATAATAATACAGCTGTCTAAATTACATATTATACGAAATTAAAAGAATAGAATCAGCATTAAGAACAAATTTTAGAACTACTGAATTATTTATAACATCAACGGGTTAACATGTTTAAAGGTCAACGAAGTGAAAACACGTATTTTCGTGTTTCTTCTCTTTATGATACAATATATCAAAATATAATAATTTGATCAAGAAAGTGGCACAAATAAACAGCATGACGGTTGAAAAATATATTGTTTTACATACACATTTTAGGCTCCTAGACATAAAAACAGTTTTGCTTTCCCTATATACATAGTAAATTGATATATGTTTACGAAGCAGTGTGCTAGCAAAAGCAAAGGAAAACAAAAGTGACCTCTATGACTTCTCTTTGAGAATTGTCTTATGACTTCTCCTTAAGAGTTTTCTAATGACTTCTCCTTAACAGTGGTCTAATAATAATTTATTAAAAGAGTTTATAGGTTTCAATAAATACTCAAAATACTGCCCGTTAGTCGTTACTAGCGACTATTGAGTTCACTTTATACATATAAAACGCCTGATTAAATTCCGAAAAACGACATTGAATGTTGATGTTTGGTTCCTTTAGTATATGTAAATATATTAAAATCAATAGAATTATATTGTAATAAACTGTTTTACCTTTATCGAATATTAGTCTTAGTTTAACATTTTTTATACAGTATATAACTCCTGTTTTCTTCTTATTATATTTTTTTAGATTTACTAACAAAGTTCCTAATTGTGATGTGATTAATTATAATAAACTATTCCTTATTAATGTTAATTACGTGTTTACCATTTTCTAAACTCTTAAGTTAATAGACGTCCCTTATTATAGGTATTAATAGTTTAAGGAATTATTTTCATTATTGTTATAGTTGTAAAATTATAAGTACCTAACTCTCACGTTTCTGATAAAAAATAAAAAAATTGTATTTCGTTCCTTTGTCTCACTTTTAAATATATTTTGAAAAATTTTCATTATTACACAGTATGACATCATTTCATTAGTTCGTTAAATAATACAAAGAAATTGAAAATAATTATGTAGCTGTAATCGATGAAAAACAGTTGATGAATAATAAAATGTAATTTTTATTCTTTCCCTTACTAATATTATTATTGCGAAAGTATCTCTGTCTGTCTGTCACGCCTAATCCGCTGAACCGATTTTGATGAATTTTCGTATGGACACAAATGTAACCTGGAGAAGGACGTAGGCTACCTTTTATTAAATTACACAGGTAAAATTCACACCACATTTTTATATCGTAACCTACCCGTTATTCTAATAATCTGTTTATAAAATATTTCATCTAGATCTATCTAGAAGTGTAGTTAGGGGTCAGTGTTCTTAGTGTTATTTTTTAATTTCTATCCCTATCCCGATCCCAATCCCTAATCCGAAGACCAAAACTACAGAGGTGGAACCATGAACTGCAGTTCTGATTCAATGACCGTAGTGGCAAAGAACACACACTCATGTTCACGAGGGCAGAGTCGCGGGCTAAAGCACGAACACAATATACCGTCTGCAATTAATGAATATTGCAGATTTGACTTAGAAAACGCCTGCCTAAATTCCGAAATATGCACCTCAAAATTACAGTTGCTATTTCAATAAAGTTACCTCTTATTATTGGTAAGAAAAAACTGGAAGTATTACTGTATCCTGATTACAATATGCTTGGTTACTATATAAATAATTATTTTTTTGTTATTGCTCACATAACAATGTAACAATTTTAACAAGATTGAATTCTGTAACAAACTGGAAACAATGACGAAAGAGTTAATAGCAGGCGTTACTCATAATATAAAACGTCTTTAGAATTTTTATCAATAATACCTATAATGATTTTTTAAATTTTGTTAATGTGGTATATTTACGAACGTAAATAAGTTTTACCTCTCTTACAATAAAAGCCTCAGAGTACTACTCTCCACTAGATGGCGGAGTATACAACTTAAATGAGCATTCTAGAACGCAGTAGAGTTTTCTTTTGACCCGCCTCTTGCACGACGGATTCTCGAACATTCTAGCGTCCACTAGATGGCGTTCTTTTTGATACCATACACATTTCAAGAAATAATTTTTTTAACAAATATAATATCTCAATAAAATATATATAAAAATGAACTGCCTTTGAAAATATTAATTCAGGAAAGACCTGCGATGCGATCGGAA